TTTTTCTATCATTTTTCCAAGAAATTAAGACAGAACACTGCTTCTTTAATAATTAGGTTTTATTTTCAAATTCAAATGGGATTTGAATAATCTGATATGTAAATAATATTATCTCTTATGATTATTTACAAATCCAAGTTTTAATTAGGGAAAATGCATAAAAAGAAGTTAAAAATTATAATATTCTCACTTAGGCACCCAAGAATTCAAAATCCCAAAGAAGGAAGTAGTGCCTGATCGGATATTTTGTAAATATAGTCAAATGACTCAAATGTCTTTGTATTAGATTAAAAAAAACTATCAAATCTGTCATTACCAGTACAATTTTTTGTCATTAGCTATTTAACACTTGTTATTATCAGTTCATAACTTATTAATAAATAACTTGTCATTACTGGTACATTTATTATCATTTGCTATTTAATACTTGTTATTGTCAATTCACAACTTGTTAATAAATTTTTTGATATAAGGGCATTTTAGTCATTTAATTATATGAACAAAATATCCAATCATGCATCACTTTCTCCTCTGGGATTTTGAAGTCTTAGGTGCCTTAACTATAATATTACAATTTTCAACTTCTTTTTATATCATTTTTCCTTTTAATTATTGTGTAATTATTAGAATTTATAATTATTTAATAGTCCGAAGTATTTAATATTTGAATAATTATACTTGTTATAATCTAAATTCATAATGAGAGAAGTACCCGTTCAGAAAAAAATTAATTTATATCTTATAATTTAAACATATAGAGGGAGAGGGGAATGAAATTCAACCTGAAATATAATTAGATTTTATATTCTCTTCTAATAATAAAAATTTATTAGTTCTAAACTTAAATAGGATTGGACTGATTTGAAATCTAAATACAATTAGATTGATTTTACAATTAGATAAAAGTTCAAGTTGAAATTACTATAAAAGCAAAAAATTACCCGTTCTATAAAAGCAATTATTTTTTTTGCCAGAATAAAAGCAATGATTAGAATTTATAATTATTTAATATTTGATTTATTTAGCATTTCAATCATTCATCCCGTTACAATCTAACCTCACAATTCGGCGGAGGGATAGCAAAGCACATTAACATTTTTTAATGGGTTAATATAATACTTGGTTCTTCAAGTTTGCATAATTTGGTTTTAGTCCTTCAAGTTTCAAACCATATAATTTAGCACTATAAGGGATAAAATGATCCAAATTTTTATTAAATTATAGGAATTAATATTTTAAATAAAAAAATTTGAGGTACCAAAACCAAAACAAAAGTAAACTTGAAGGACCAAAAATTATATTAATGTTTTTTTAAATTTATATCTTAATTACAAGTAATTCGATTCTACTAACGAAATAATTCAAAAATATATACCAATTTTAAATCCAACCTGAATAATATAATTGGATGTTTTAAGATAATTAGAAATATGCGGTTCTTAAAAATAAAAAAATTAATTAGGTTCCTCTATAATAAATTAATAATTATTAGTTGTGATACGTCGGAATCAATCCACACATCAATTGTCAAGCCTAACTTTCGCCACTGATTTATGAATTACAGAATTGCAATAATCACCCCCAAACCAAAACCTATTTTTATTAAAGAAAAAAATAATTTAGAGATTGTATTATTATTTAAATTAAATTAACAATCCCTCTGAGCCTTTTTGCCAGACATAGGCCTTCGCCATCAATTATTTCAATGGCCTAGACGATAATTTGAAGTCTAAATTACCCATCTGATCAATGATCAAATTAGAATTGGATTTCAGCTGATCTGTTTCCTCTAGTAATTTGAATAAAAATAGCCGTTAAGTTGATGGTCAATTTTGAGAAGTCGGTCTTTCAAAAATTTTAACGTTGGGACTCAGAAATATATACTTTTGGCTCTTATTTTACTCAACTGTGCCATTGAGTATGCTAAAGGTGCCACAGCCTCAGCTCCTCCACCTCCGCCGGCCAAGAAGGATGCTGGGACTGGTGGTAGGAAAATAGTTAATGCGTTCGTTGGCAAGGGTGTCAACAGGAAGGTTGCCTCTGTTCTTGATTGCGTTTTAGAGCCACTCGAATCGATTGGCGTTGGAGGGGACTCAGCTTCTGGGTGAGAAATATTTCTATATGAACAAAACTGAAGGGCTCAAGATTTCGCCTCTTATTACCGTAAGTCTCGTGTCACATTCTATTTGTAGATTGAGTTTCCTGGTTACTGTTTTTCGAGTTCGGTAATTTGATTTGGTGACGAAGTTTAGTCAATTACATCGTGAAGCTGTAGGCTTTTAGTGTTTCATAGATCCGAGTGTATTTTTTCTCCGATAGGAAATTGACCCAAGTGCGTGTACCCTTTTCTTTAAATGTGCTTTGAAGTTACAGTATAGAGTATGTGGAAAACCATAGTGTTCAAAGGTTCTGTTGCAGGTCAATGGCATGATTTATGAGGATCGTGGTTAAAAATACTGTGATGATTGAAACTGAAGTCTATTTATCTTCGCCTTCCATATTAGTTCTCGTCCACTAAGCTTTGCCTTTTGTTTGTAGATGTGATTCTGCGGTTCCATTTACCTGCTCTTATCTCTTCTTATTTTGTCTAGCATTTTACACCTATTGGATATAGGTCGTGCTTGATATTTGATATTTCTTTTGTCCTTTGAGGAGCCTATTGATGGCAAGAGTGAAACTAGTAAGAAACCATATACCAATTTATATCTGTCAAAACATTAGTAATTATTATGTTATTTTGTTAAGGTGCTTTTACGTAGCCTTGCATTTTGTTGAAATTAAGTATTTGTTGCCCATTCATAGAGAAGCTACTGCTTTTGTTGAGAGCAACGGATCCTTTTATAGGAATCAGGGTTTTTTTTTTCCTCCTTCTCGCATTCATTTCTGTCTGTTTATTGGAATAAATTTTGGTTGTTTACTTCACAGCCACTCTTCTTGATGTCTAAGTGTGTGGTATTAAAAGAATGGTTCTATTTTCATAGCAGTATTTTCTTGTCAAAGTTCTCCCTGTAGGCATTGTTAATATCGTTAACCGTATTACTGAAATTGTAAAAATGTTGCTTATTGAATTTTTCAAAAAACCTGTTGTTAAATACTATACCGAACTTGTTAATAGAGTTACAGAATTTGTTAACAGCATTACTGAAATTGTAAAAATACTATTTTTTGAATTTTCCAGAAAACCTGCTGTTAATTGTTATACTGAACTTGTTAATAGCATTACAAAACTTGTTAACTGTTTTACCGAAATTGTAATTTTTTTTTAAAAAAGTAGTTACTAAAGTTGTAAAAATGCTATTTTTTTTTAATTTTTCAGAAAACCTGTTGTTAAATGTTATACTGTAGTTATTAATAGACATAACTTATTAAGGGTATTACTGAAGTTGTAAAAATGTTACTTTTTGAATTTTTTGAAAAACCTATTATTAACCGCTATACTAAACTTATTGATAGCGTAACAAAATTTATTAACCATTTTACTAAAGTTGTAAAAAATTTTAAAAAAATTTTTGCTACCACCAGAGCTCTAGTGACCAATTGATGGCAGCCACTGGAGCTCTGGTAACAGCAGCCACCTAAGCTCCGGCAGCCACCGTCAGCATCGGAGCTTCAGCAACTGGTGGGGGCATTTGGTTTTTAAAAAAACAATAAATAAAATAAAGAACAATATGATCATTTCAGTAAATTTACAAGTGTCAAATTAGTTACTTATGACTAAATTAGGATTTTACAAATTCAAGTGACTATTTTGGCATTTTCAAATTTAAATGTCATTTTTGTGTCATTTTCCCTACAAGTAACTTATATTTAAGAACAAAAATCTTCCTAATAAGTGGCTTATAATAAACACCATAGTGACATTATATTTAGAATCAAAATTAACTTCCTAACTTGTTTTGCCAAAACTTCTATGCGTTGAAGACTGCTATATAATTCTCATGGTAATCTATTTCCACCATCACCCTACTCTAGCCCATCAATTCCAAACATTCAGGTGCTGACAACAACGCCAAGCTTTCTATCCTCGATGCAAATAGGTGCTTTATCAGTTTTACCGCGAAATAATGCTGCATCAATGTTATTTACTCCCTCTCTGCTTTCTATTACAGTTTATTTTCGTATGCTAAAATAAACTCTACAGCACAAATTGTTACAAAATGAAACTGATAGGTATGGAGATTCTGGATTAAAGTTTCAGACAAAAGGTCAGATACAGTGTTTAGGATCAAGCATTTGGATTGTTTGTTCCCCTGTTTAGAGTACCATATTTTAATGATAACTAAATAATATTAAATTTTAATTCTACTTAAATGTTCTGGTTGTTTTATAGATTACAAAATAATGTTTCATGACAGTGATTTAACTTGTTGTAGGGGATTATTCTGATAGTTTACTATCTGCTAATTAAAACAAAGCACATTCTAATTGATAACTAATTCTTCTACGGCATATCCTTTGACCTTTCCCATTAATAATGATTTTTACCTACACAGGTGCACTCCCTCCCTCCTTGGCTTCATCCTTCCCTTATTGCAAGTGCATCTCTGAATTTGGTGGCATATAAAACTTACGGCAATGATATGTTTTGGGCATTTAAACCATGCCAATATGGTAAAATCTCTGCTGTATGGTCTAATTTCTTGTAAAATATCATGTATATGTTGTAATTAATATGTTAGAATAATATATAATTAAAAGGCTTCATATCAATGATGTGTCAGTATCAATCTGTAAGAGTCAGCTCTTCATAACAATTTTTAGTTTTTCTTTTTATTATTGAAGTTTGATTTAAAACCATGGGTGTGTAACTAGTTTGGTATAGCTTATTAAAACCTCACCATTTGATTGACAATGAAAAAGGAAAAAAAATCATAGACTACACCAGCAGAAAAATCCCCTTAAATATATAACACTTCAAACTAAGTGCAAATACACCCCCAGTTTATTGATCTAACAAAAAAAAAAGAAAGAAAGGGTTTGCAATTTGTACCACATGCCATCTAGAAATTGGAAATAAACATATCTCCATGATCTATTGTAGAGAAAGGACCTACCACAACCCAAAATCCCACCACAAACCCCAATGTCATACTTACAAAAAACCAATCAATCCCCTCCCCATGATCACCATTCTTATCATCTTGATCTGGATCACTTGAAGTGCAATTATTAGTAAGAGGAGGACCACAAAGGTTGTTGCCAGCAAAACTAGATGCTTCAAAGCTTTGCAATTGTGTCCCTGTAGGAATTCTTCCCTCCAAATCATTTCTTGACAAGTTCAAAAAGCTCAAGAAGCTTAACTTGGTTATGCTTTGTGGGATTTCACCAACAAGATGATTCCTTGAGAAATCGACAGACTCTAGTGACTCCAAGTTCCCAAAAGCTTTTGGAATTTGACCGCTTAAACAATTATTGGAAACATTTAGAAAGTGTAACCCCTTAAGTCTTGTGATTTCCATTGGTATCTCTCCAGATAATTTCTTGCTTGAAAGGTCAATACTTGTGATGAGACCAAGAATAGCTCTATAATAATCAACTCTTCCTTTTAGGGAAAGGAGCTCCTCAAGAACCAGATGCCTTTTGTTGTTTGCTCCATTGCAACGAATGTATGATTCTGAACTGCTATTTACTATTGAAATAGCACTCAAATGGCTGATGCATTTGGGTATTTGTCCTGTCAACTTGTTTTGTGCAAGGTCTAAGACTTGTAATAACCTCATGTAACATATTTGAAAGGGAACTTGACCAGAGAACTTATTTGATTTAAGAACAAGAATCTTCAAATTTGGCAAGTGTTGTCCAACCCATGATGCAATTGTTCCTGAAAATTGATTGTTCCCTAGATCCAAAGAAATCAGTTTGCTGCAATTCTTCAACAAAGTTGGGAAAGTTCCAAAGAAACTATTGTTGCGAAGGTGCAACACTGCCAACCAGGATAATGATCCTGTTAGAAGCCCTTGATTCTCTCCCTGATTCTCTCCCTTTATTCTCTCCATTAATTACCCATGATTCTAGCTAGACAATAAATTCCTGATTACTTGTGATATTGCAATATCTTTCATTTATTACTGATTGATTGTAACCGGTAGTATGAGACTCTATATATTGTACCCAAATCATATGAAATAATATAGAAGAGTGAATTTTCAATACTCTTTAAGCATGGTATCAGAGCGTGTGAGCTTGGAAAGGGTCCTGGAGAGTCTGCCGTGAGCCAGAGAGAGAGAGACGGCGAGGAGAGAGAGAGAGAGTGAGTGAGACGTCCCTGAAACTGGAACCAGAAGTGGTCCGTGGACGACACCACCCCTCCAGGCCTCACCGGCGTCCCCAGATCGGCGCGTCCCCAGAAGCCGACGTCCAACGGAGCTACGCGTGACCCTCACGCGCCGTTACAAGCTCCGCGCGTGAATCCCACGCGCCGCCACGCGCCGCCACTGTACCAGCGCGTGCCGCCCACGCGCCGCCGCCAGAGACCTCCAGTACCTCCCAGAGACCCAGAAGATGGATAACCCAGAATTCCCACCACTTTTTGGGTCTGTTCGCAATATTCCAAGGGTTCTCATGTCCGGTACATCTTCAAATACTCAAGCTACTCCTTCTCCTTCTTCACCGGTGGTTACTCCTTCTTCAGATCTGACAGTAGCCGCTGAACCTCAAGCTATGGGGGTAGCCCACAAACTTAATGGAAGCAATTATCTGCAATGGTCTCAAAGTGTATTAATGTATCTACGTGGGAAGCGTAAGGAGAAGTATATCAATGGAGAAGCAACACAACCTTCGCATAATGATCCCAAATTTGATACCTGGTTCGCTGAAAATAATCAGGTAATGTCTTGGTTGTGCAATTCAATGACTCTCGAAATCAGTGAAGGATACCTTCTTGCAAGTACAGCCAAGGAAATCTGGGATGCGGCTAAGCGGACCTACTCTACCCTCGATAACACTGCAGCCTTATTAGATCTAAAGAGGCAGCTCAAAGATCTGAAACAAGGCAACTTAACTGTGACTCAATACTACAGTACGTTGACAAAGATATGGCAGCAATTGGACCTCTTTGAAGTACATCCTTGGAAGGATATGGATGATGCAAATTACTACAGACAATTGGTGGAAAGAGGACGAACATATGACTTTCTGTTGGGCCTGAATGATGTTTTTGAAGAAGTGAGAGGGAGAATTATGGGACTGAAGCCGCTGCCATCCCTATTTGAAGTTTTCAGTATGGTTAAGTTCGAAGAAAGCCGAAGACACCTCACTCAAAGCAGCCTGACCGCAGCAGAGGGCTCGGCATTGGTGACGAGGGGGTTCCAGACATCAGAGGGCCCTGAGAAGAAAGGGAACAAGTGGTGCAACCACTGTAACAAGAGAGGCCACACCAGAGATGAATGCTGGAAACTACATGGGAAACCAGCTCAAGGGAAACAGAAATAACGGGAAGATAGAAGGAGCCACCACACCTCCTCTGAAGAAAAAGGTGATGATGGAGACCAATTGACCAGAGAAGAGCTTCAAATGCTTCGTAAGATACTTGAAAAACAAAACAAATCAAAATCTGTTCCCAACGTGAACTTGATACAGTCAGGTAATTCCATTATAGCCCTCAATGCAATGATAACTAGTGATGAGACTTGGATTGTTGACTCCGGTGCTACAGATCACATGACTGGTAATAAGTCCTTCTTCAAAACCCTCAAATATTGCCATGAGAACCTTAGAGTAAAAGTGGCAACTGGACTGTATACTAAAGTTGAGGGTGTTGGCAGTGTGGCTCTATCTGAAGATCTGGAAATCCATAATGTTTTGTTTGTCCCTGCTCTTACTTGCAATCTTATTTCTGTGAGCAAATTAACTAAAGGGAAAGCATGTCGGGTGATATTTGATGATGTTAAATGTGTTTTTCAGGATTCGACCTCGGGGAGGAAGATTTTGACTGCTAAAGAATGGGATGGACTCTACTACTTTGAAGGAAAGGATATGAAGACAGCAGGAGCAAAGAAAGCTATGGTTAGCTCCAACTCTCAGAATAAAAATGTAATGTTGTGGCATCAAAGATTAGGCCACCCCAGCTTTGATTATATGAAGCATGTGTTTCCAACTTTATTCAATAAAAATTCTTCTCCTTTCCAATGTGAAACGTGTCAAATTGCTAAACAAACTCGCGCCTCTTATCCCAAACATACTTACAAACCTTCTACCCCGTTCACAATGATCCATACCGACATTTGGGGACCAGCCAAAACCAACACCCGAACAGGCACAAAGTGGTTTATCACATTCATAGATGATCACACCCGGGTCACATGGGTTTACCTTATGAAAGAGAAATCCGAAGCCCTACAAATTTTCAAAAACTTTTACTCGTTTGTGAGAACCCAATTCCAAACTACCATCAAAGTCCTGAGAAGTGACAATGCCAAAGAGTATGTGAGTGGAGCCTTTAGGGAATTTCTTGAGCAGGAGGGAATCCATCACCAAACCTCATGTGTTTATACTCCTCAACAAAATGGAGTTGCTGAGCGAAAGAATAGACACCTTTTGGAAGTGACCCGAGCTATTATGATGGAAAGAAATGTTCCAAATCTGTTTTGGGGAGATGCTGTACTAACCGCAGCCTACCTTATCAACCGTATGGCCTCTAAAATTCTCCACTTTAGCACCCCTATTCAAAAGCTCCTCGAGACTTACCCCACTTCACCTATCATCAATACCATCCCTCAAAAGGTCTTTGGGTGTGTCGTCTTTGTCCATAAACATGATGGAGGCAAACTAGGTGCTAGAGCAGAAAAATGCATTTTCCTCGGGTATTCCTCCACCAAAAAGGGGTACAAGTGTTATTGTCCCACCACCAGAAAACTTATAATCTCCAAAGACACAGTCTTTTATGAGGATGATGCTTACTATCCCAAATTACCCATTCAGGGGGAGCACTATGGAGTAGAATGGCTAATTACATCCGAACCTATAACCATACCGCCTCAAGACAACATCCCTGAACCGGAAACGGAACCAAAAACCCCTACTGCTACACCTTCTCCAGAACACCAAAACTCCACAAACATCCCTCACCCAATGGAAACCAATGCTGAAATTGATGCAGGGGTGACAGAGCACTCAAGTCCTCAATCAGGTGAACAGGACAGTAGTAGTAGGGTTCCTTCCATTCCAAGGCAGCAACATGATTCCAATCCGGAGTTGGATCCTGAAGAACTGGGATGGCCTATTGCACTTAGAAAGGGGGTAAGATCGTGTACTCAACATCCTATTCAAAAATTTGTCTCTTATGGCAATTTATCTGCGAGAATGCAAACTTTTGTAGTGAATAGCTCACAGGTGAAAATTCCAGAAACATTTCAACAGGCTGTAACAGATCCTAATTGGAAACATGCTGCATATGAGGAGTTGAGAGCCTTGAAGGAGAATAACACGTGGGATATCACCACACTTCCTAAAGGCAAGAAAGCAGTGGGTTGCAGGTGGATCTTCACCCCTAAATTCAATCCTGATGGCAGCATCAACAAGTACAAAGGAAGATTAGTTGCCAAAGGGTACACCCAAACCTATGGGATTGATTATCAAGAAACGTTTGCTCCTGTGGCAAAATTCAACACCATCCAGGTACTCCTGTCCCTAGCTGCCAACCTTGATTGGCCCCTACATCAACTAGATGTGAAGAATGCTTTCCTAAATGGAGATCTGGAGGAGGAAGTGTACATGGAAATTCCAGATGGAGTAATAGCTCCGCCCAACTCAGTTTGCAAATTGAAGAAATCATTATATGGCCTGAAACAATCTCCACGAGCATGGTTCGACAGGTTTGCCAAAGCAATCAAAAGGTTTGGCTACATTCAAGGACAAGCTGATCACACTCTTTTCGTCAAACACAGTGATGGAAAGGTAACGATCCTAATTGTGTATGTGGATGATATAGTCATAACTGGCAGTGATGAGGTTTCTATCTCTCACCTCAAGAAGGCCCTGGCTAGGGAATTCCAAGTGAAGGATCTAGGCCAAATGAAGTACTTTCTTGGAATGGAGGTTGCTAGATCCAAAAAGGGTATAAGTGTGTCTCAACGAAAGTACACACTGGACTTACTCCACGAAACAGGAATACTTGGGGCTAAACCCAGTGAGACTCCTATGGAAGAGTCATGCAATCTGGAAGTGAAACCAAAAGGGACACCAGTTAACTCAGAAAGGTACAGAAGACTTGTGGGCAAACTAATCTACTTGACTCATACAAGGCCTGACATTAGTTATGCAGTTGGAGTGGTAAGCCAATTTATGCATCAACCCCAGGAAGAACACATGGAAGCAGTATACAGAATCCTCACCTACCTCAAACTCAACCCTGGAAGAGGACTATTCTTTAAAAGGGGGAGTACAAGGAGCATCGAGGTCTACACTGATGCAGATCATGGGAGAGCTGTGGATAACAGAAGATCTGTCACAGGATACTGTACTTATGTTTGGGGAAACTTAGTCACTTGGCGAAGCAAGAAACAGACAGTAGTCTCAAGAAGCAGTGCTGAGGCTGAGCTAAGAGCTGTAGCCCTGGGGGTATGTGAAGGAATGTGGGTGATTAGACTTCTGAAGGAATTGAGAATCTCCTATGAAGGACCTATGAATCTCTGGTGTGACAATCAAGCCAGCATTGAAATGACCAAAAATCCTGTGTATCACGACCGAACAAAGCATGTTGACATTGATCGGCACTTCATCAAAGAAAAGGTCGAGGATGGTATCATTAACTTGAACTATGTGCGTTCAACTGATCAGATTGCTGACATCATGACCAAACCGTTAGCCAGAGTCAAGTTTGAAGGGCTTCGAAGCAAGCTGGGAATGGTTGACATCTACTCTCCAGCTTGAGGGGGAGTGTTAGAAGCCCTTGATTCTCTCCCTGATTCTCTCCCTTTATTCTCTCCATTAATTACCCATGATTCTAGCTAGACAATAAATTCCTGATTACTTGTGATATTGCAATATCTTTCATTTA